GTATGCTCGACAGCCGGGTTCACAGTCGGAGCCATTGGGAGAGCCTGTTACCTACTGTCTTGCTCGAGGTTTAAAGCCCGCGATTGAAGTTTGGACGGAGAATACAAAAGGGGGTCAGGTGGGACAATCAGCAACTTGAGGCGAGATACGGAGCAAAATTGTGCTTAATTCGTCCTGATTCTCAATATTTCAACAACACGTTCTACGATATTATCCCAAATGAGCACATGTCACCGGAAACAATGCGCAAGGTAATACAGCCGTAGCGTAAAAACGTAAGTCTGACACATGATGCACTGCGGGAAAGAAAACAACGGAAAGGGCGGAGCTATCAGGGTACTGCATAATGTATATAATAAGCCCGCTTCAGCGGAAATGTTTCGATTCCATAGCAATACTATATATCAACATGTAACATGTTTGTTTTTACTAAAATGGAATAACAAAAATGAAATGTATTCGGTTATTTTTTTTTACACTTGTGAAAGTTCTGTCGCCGAAGGTCGCTTTTTTGGTAAAGGTTTGCAAAAGGAGTAGTAGGGATCGGCCTCTAAACAAGCGGTGCTTTCATTCATTTACAATAGCTCAACAACCCCTGGACCGTCTTGTCCGACAAAGCAAATATGGCACAATTCATAATCATCTCGTCACACTATATGTAGGAGATAGGCATGTATCAGATTGCTTCAACATCAGCATCATCATCATCATCGTACAAGCTTTAATGATCTGTTATAAGAGATAGTCTTAACTCAACACTCTGAATTTGTAAAAGGGAAGATAGCCTTTTTAGAAACAAATGGCTTAGCATTCTATAGTATAGTTTCGGTAAGAGGCTTGCAAACGGGTTTATTTAAGCGCTCTCGTGCGTCCGTCTCCTCGTTACTTATTTTATGCCAACAGCGTCGAAGGTCTTCCGCCGCGAGTCCCCAATGCAGGACGAGCCACGGGGAAGGAGTTGTTATGCGGAAAACAGTTTTCTTACGGCGGTTGCAGGGTGCATGGCTTGGGCATCTCCGAGGAACAGGTAAAGTATTGAGCAAGGCGACGTGGTTCACGTGAAGAAAGCATGGATGCTCCTCGGTCAGCCTGAGGGGCGTTGGGATTGCGGGACAGCTGAGACGGTTGTGTGTTCCTTGGAGATGACGACGGCGATAAAAATGGCACCGTCAGGACGCCTACCCTCGCTACTCTCTTCGCAACTGCTTTTAGGCTACTGATCCTGTTCTTCCCCACTAGGTGCAGCGGAGCAACCGGCGGTCGTGCCAGATAATGACCCGCCGTCGAAGACCAATTTGGCCGTCACCCGAGCGTGCGCAAAGTGCGACTATTCGCGGTGTTCATGTAGCACAGCAAAGACGACAGCCCAGCGTCAAACCGCTAGCGGCACCACGAAGCGGAAGCAGTTGTTTATGCGATAGGACCCTTTGGATTACCACAAGGTTTAACGCATTGTTTTTAGTAACATAATCTAGCATGATTTGAGATGATTATGCTAAAATGGATATGGCCACGCTATAAACCTAATGGGTACGGTATGTATCGCTAGTAGGTCACAAATATCTTACCTTTTTGTATTGCAACTCAGGTTGCGACCCATTACATACAAAGCTCGGAACAACCTCAGTGGTTTGCTATCGAATAACTTAATATGGAATGAAGCTCGTGAGATTGCTTTTACATGCACATTGTGCACGATGATTCCGAGTTTATACTAGTTTGTAGTGGTATATTTAAGCGAATCGACTAGGTAATATCAGCAGCTTGCTCGTCACGACACCTGTTATCACCATTTCGACGGTAATCACTTCAAACCCAAGCTAGCGGGATCGTTGAGTCCAGTCAGCATCAACGACCTGAATTTCAGATTCGTCATAGTCCGGATCGCCAAT